CTTTGTTTATTTTCAATCGGCTGTGATTCTGCGGCAGAATGTAAGCACATCAGTGGGAGCTGCCATGTGTACACTAAGTCAGACTAGTTTATAAGTCTGGGAAAAGAGATAAATACAAAGGGAATTACTTACGCACTGGGAAATAAAAACAAGATGTAAATCCAACATTTCACCCGCCCGGAAATCATCACGGCCCTGCAAATGCGTGGTGCACTGTTATTTTTATTGCACACAAGTTGCACACTAGCGTCACTTACACAAATACACATTCATAAATCACGTAGGAAACGTGCCACTTATTCAGTCTCGGAGCATCGTCGCACGTACGGCTCTCAGTGAAATTCCTCCGTGTGAACAGGGAGGGCGAAAGTGTAAGAACGACGAGGCTTACTTGCGCTCACCACCACATCTCGAGAATCGTTTTCAAGACGCATCCCACTTGGGATGGCCTGGCCAATTCCAAGAGCGATGTAAGCGGAGAAACGTGTTGCCGGACTCATCAATAGGCCTGTGTGTCTCGAGAGACAATTCTTTTGTGCCTTACGAAGTCAGCTGTTGGTTTTGTAGCGCCTAGAATGACTTAGTAGGCCAATCCTTGAGTGACAATCCTTGCCACAGCAATTGCAAGTGAATGCGGTGGCAGATCTAGAGGTATTTATTGCTTTTTCTTTACGTCGCTCCCTCTTGGTCTGCAAGCAGTGTCTTTTCTCCTAGCCTCTCCTGATTCCTGTTTTCACAGCCTGCTGCCAGCTGAGTCGGTCGCAGGCACTTTTCTCCCAGTCACCTGGGTTGATGTCGCAGCTCTTCATGTCCCGTTTACAGACATCTTTGAAGCGCAGGACTGGGCGATCAGTGGCCCGTGTGCCTTATGCCAGCTCGCCAAACAAGACATCCTTGGGTATTCTGCCATCCTGCATGCGGCGCACGCGTCCAAGCCATCTCAGGCATTGGCCAAGTTGAGGACTGAGGTGTTGGGAATGCGATCTCGCCATATGATACCGAGGATGCCCCTGAGACATTGGAGGTGGAATGTGTTTAGTCGATGTTCTTGATGGGCATATGTTGTCCAGGATTTAGACCCATAGAGGAGGGTGCTAAGGACACAGGCCCGGTACACCTGTACTTTGGTGTTGAGCGTTAGGGATTTGTTCTCCCACACTCTTATGGTCAACCTCTGTGACAAGGGATAAATTGTAGGTGATGGTAGAACCCAAGTAGGTGAAGTCTTGAACGGCTTCCAGGGTGTAGCTGCCAATGTTTATGGAAGAGGTGTCTCTGACATCCTGGCCCATGACATTGGTCTTTTTCAGACTGATTGTCAGGCCAAAGTTGTTGCAGGCATTGGCAAGGTGGTCGATGAGTGTCTGCAGACTTTGTTCTGTGTGAGCTGTCAGCGTAGCATCATCAGCAAATAGGAGTTCTCTGATGAGAACTTTGCGGACTTTGGTTTTGGATCTGAGACGGCCAAGGTTGAAGAGTTTGCCATCAGATCTTGTATGGAGAAAGACTCCCTCTTCTACTGTCCCAAAGGCATGTGTGAGAATAAGTGAGAAAAATATGCCAAACAATGTTGGGGCAAGCACGCACCCCTGCTTTACACCGCTAAGTATGGAAAATTCCTCTGAGGTGGTGCCGCTGTGCTGTATTGTTCTTTTCATATTGTCATGGAAAGAGGAGATGACTGGCAGCAACTTCGGTGGACAGCCAATCACTTTGAGGAGTTTGAAGAAGCCTCCCTTACTGATGAGGTCAAAGGCCTTTATAAGATCAATTAATGCCAAGTACAGGGGCTTTCTCTGTTCTCGACATTTCTCCTGTAGCTGACGCAAGGAGAAGAGCATGTCAATCGTGGACCTTCCTGCTCTGAAGCCACACTGAGCCTCAGGATACGTCCTATCAGCTAGTATCTGTAACTTGCTGAGGATCACACGCGCAAAGGTTTTCCCCACGATGCTCAGCAGGGAGAATGTCGCGGTAGTTCTTGCAATCCCCACGGCTACCCTTGTTTTTATATAGGGTGATGATGTTGGAGTCTCTCATGTCTTGAGGCATTGCTCCTTCTTACCAGCACTGGCAGAGAAGTTCATGGAGTTTTGTGAGGATGGCGGGTTTCACACATTTCAGTACCTCGGGTGTGATGCCGTCCTGTCCCAGGGACTTTCCGCTGGCTAGTGAGTTGATGGTGTTGTCAAGTTCCTTCAAGGCTGGAACATTGTCAACCTGGCCATTTTCTCTTGTTTATCAGTGATGATGGCCCCTGTGCTGGATTTCAGGGGGGCAGTCCTCTTGATGTATGAACCATAGGCTGGCTTGATGCCTTCATACATGGCACGGATATTACCATTGTCAGAGGCGAGTTGGATCCTACTGCTGAGGTTCAGCCAGTAGTTGTTGGCGCAGCGTCTGGCGGTCGTTTGAGCTGCACTGTGGGCATCTATCAGAGCCCTTGATGATCCTGTAATTGAGACTTGCTTATACTTCAGGAGCGCCATGTGCTTGGCTTGGAGGATGGGCTCCAATATCGCTAGGTGTTCCTCAAACTGTGTTCTGCCTTGTCTGCTTGCCGAAGGTATTGATGGCTACATTGAAGATGGCGTCTCTGATGTACGCCCACTTTGTCTCCACTCTTCCATCTGGTGTGTCGTGTAGGGACTGCTCAAGGCTGTGTTGGAATGATTGAGTGAGCTGTGGGAGGGAGGTCTTGGCAGAGTTGATGCGTAGATAGCGCTTGTGTTTGAGGCGGTGTATCTTTTTGGGGAGTAGTCTGACCTTGCAGGATACCAGCGAGTGATCGGTGTCACAGACTGCACTGCGGTAGCTGCGTGTGATGAGTTCCGAGTTGAGGAGGGCTCGTCGGGTGATGACGAGGTCCAGTTGGTGCCAATTAAGAGACCTTGGATGTCTCCATGATACTTTATGGCATGGTTTTGTAAGAAAGAATGAGTTTGTGATACAGAGATTGTGGTATGAGCAGAGCTCTAGTAGTCTTTGGCCACTGGCATTCATCTTTCCGATGGCCTGATAGCCAAGGCATGCGTGCCACGCATTGTGGTCAGCCCCAACCCTTGAATTGAAGTCTCCCAACAGAAACATGTGCTTAGAGCTATGGATTTTGCGAATAATATTGTGGGTTTCTTCATAGAACTGGTCATGAGTCTCCAGAGGTGAGTAGAATGTTTACTTGGCCAGAAGCAGTGAGCAGTCTCATGAGCAGAATCCGCTTGGAGCCTGCAGTTGGTGGTTCTATCATGCCAAGGAGTGTTTTTGACGGCGAACCCAATACCGTGTTCCTTTGGTTCGTTCTGCTGTTTTACATGCCAGTAGAAAGTGTAGTCACTCTCTCGTAGTGAGCCACTGCCAGCAAGCCGGGTCTCCTGCAGCGCTGCAATATCGACATGGAGTCTCGCCAACTCCCTGTCAATAACAACAGTCTTGCGGATGTCCTCAATCTGCAATAGATCTTCGGAGAGTCCAGAACACATTGTGCGTACATTCCAGCTTGCAAAATTAAGGGCTGGTACCTTCTTTCCATTTGTTTTGCTTTTGTCTGGTGCAGGTGTTGCAGCCCACTTGTCTGGTGAAGAACCATAAGCCCCAAGCACCCATTGCAGCAGGTGAGCCGTGGCGGGAAAGCACCTTATTGGCCGGGGGCTGCCCAGCTTGAGGTGGGGGCGGTAGCTATCCATTGGGGTGCAACGACCCCTCCCACCGACGATGGCAACCCGTGGCGCCCATTTTTTACGCCAATCCAAAATGAGCTTATAACCCGTGACTGCTGCCATCCATGTTTCTTGGCCACGATTAGGTGGCCGAGGAGTGTTCTCTCCCCATTTTTGCACCTCTTCTTGGCGCAAAGCCCGGGTAGGTTACTCTGGAAATCCCGGGTTGCCCATGCGTCAGGATCCCACCCTCGGCCTTGCTGGTGAGGTCCAAAGTAGAGCATAGCATGATGTTTAGTACCAGTTTGGCTGCAGGGGCTGCCGGGAATGTGCTGCTGTTCATCACAAAACCGCTTAAGGGACCCCACTCCTGATTTTCTGTAGGGGTTTACTCCCTTAGCCATTGACTCTCCCGAGACACTCACAAGGCAGTGAGAGTTGCCGGACTAGCTCTCAAAGATCCACGAGGACCGGCCGGCAACCGGCTTGCTATACTGCCTCCCGCAAACAGATCTCTGCTCCCGCCACCATCGACACCAGGTCTGTCACAGAGATAATCTGCGCACGGTCCACTAAGCCCCCCCCCCAACCACCGCCGCCTTTGAGTCATGTCGCGCGATCATTCTTCACAACGCAATGTGATATTAAAATAAATAAAATACCGAGTTGCCCATTTTCGCGAAATAAGTTTCCCTTAAGCTTGCGAGTGCATTTCGCATTTTTTATCCTTTTGCTTCTTTGCTTTGATGTACAGTACTTCCAGTGTGAATAAAGATCACTTCAGAGTTACCCAACTGCAGTCCACACATCATCATAATCCGTAGGTCTTCCAACCATTGCAACTTCGAAATCTAAAGCACATAAGCTCATGCTGTCAGGCCATCCAGAAATCTGCATGACAAAGCACCACTTTAATGGGTAATAGTGATAAAAAAAACTTTAATTACTGTATCATTGCGAACGTTCATTTTTGTTATTTCATAAAGCAATTTGGCAGTACATAAAATAAACATGAATTTAAAAAATGAGCAAAGATATTCACGGTATATTTCTAATTGGACGGTACGATTATGGTGGATCTTAAAGCGTAGTATCACCAATTTGCGGCAAACCCTCTACACTTCTCTTCTCATCAGCAAGGCCACCCAGAGATCCCCGGAGGCCCAGGGCAGAATGCCACGTGGGAGCCCCTTATCCCACCGTCCGTAGTCCCCGCTGCGGGGCCGTACGTACGTACGTTGAACTTCTTTCGCGCCGTACGTAGCCAACCGTGCTAATCGGAGGAGCCCTCTTTTGCGTGAGGGCCCGAGGCGAACGCTTTGGGACGTGTGTGCGCGCTACCTTCCACGTGGCGGCGTTGTGCCGGAAGTACGCAAATCTCCGGGTGAACCAGTTGTAGATCTCATTGAGGGTGAGCTGCTTGTCCGGAGATTCTACGATGGCCTGTGGAAAGACGGGGGCGGGAGGGGGAGGCGGTAGGAGGAGGTAGAGGAGGAATAGGGAGGAGGAGGAGGAGGGAAGAGCGAGGCGAGAAGGGAGAGGCAGGCGCGCCGCGCGTGTGCCGCGTTTTTACCTCTCAACGCCTTCGCCACGGCGCTCAACATCGCACGAACGTAAAGGGCACATCAAAAATTCATAATCACTGTCTCATTATTAGATTCCGGGGAGGCAGACTCGCACTTAATAACGGCGCCCGTAATGACCCGAGTGCATTTGAGAAGGCCCGGATAGAGCGAGCCATCACAACTCATTGTTTTTAAGTGTCTGCTTTTACCCACAAACGCGTTTCAAAGAGCAAAATTTGCATATGCGGGCGATACGCACCTGCCTGATTAGGGACGCGTACGTGAAGGGCGGCCGGACCTCGGCATTCTGGTAGAACTCCTGGTTCTGTGCGAGCTCTGTTGCGACAATCACATGCAGCGTGGCTGCGAAACACCATCCCAATTGTACACACAGAAACCGTGGCTGAGCACACAGGGCACAGGAGAACAGTTTTTGCGCGCGGGCAGGAACCGCGGTGCTTGTCTCAAGTTCCGTGATGATGGGTCGTAACGACGAGACCCATTGTGTGTAAAGGTGATGGTGATGATGAAATCCATTGTATGTAAAGATGATGATGATGATGGTGACGGTGAGATCCATTGTATGCCAAGATGATATTGATGGTGGCGATGATATCCATTGTATTTTATTAATGATGTTGAAGACGATGAATTTAAAAGTATGTCTTGATGATCAACATGGTAACAGACTTTGATTATGAGAATTCATTTATGGCTCCATTAAATGTTAAGTTTCCATGTTTTATTCATTTTTCTCACCAATATATCTTATGATCGCAGTAATAGCCATTCTATGATCGTCATGATTATGATGGAAAATGCAATTATATGATGACGATCGAGATTACATTTTGTTTTAAATCACTACACATTTTTAAACAGTATGAATCCCATTTAAATTAACCATTGGTTTAGAACTGTACATTTTCAGTAAAAAAAAATCCTTCCACAGAATATACGCATCAATTCGTAGCAAATGCTTAATATATATGTATGCATTTATGCGTGAACAAGGCAAATCTTACACCGACACGGTAAACAATGACAACAGCACGTGTTTTCGTTCAAGATCATTTTTTTTTTACGAAAAAACATACAAACGGCACGTTATCATTTCAAATGCCTAATTGCAACGCAACGTAATGTGACACGGTGTTTACAATTGCGCCTAATTAGCGCAAATAAATAGGAGCGAGCGTGCGGGCACGTTGTTCGGCACGCGCGTTCGCGCGCACGTTGGCGCAGCCGACAGGGCCACATCGGAGGTGGCGCCCCCCCAGCCCCTCTTGGCTTTGCGGTGCCGAGGGCAGCGGAACCGATCGCGGGCGCCTTCGTGCGCGACACGGGGCGGTTAAAACCGATCGCCGTGGCCGCGACTCGCCGCCGCCGCCGCCGTTCGTTCGTTCGTTCGTCTCGGAGCGAGAGCTCGAAACGGTGAACAGATTACGTCTCAAGGCGGCTTGGAGGGTTGACGCGAGCGAGCGAGCGAGCGAGGGCTCGCTCGTTGTTTGCGCGATGTTTGCTCTTTTGTACGGTGGTCTTCTTCGGACCGATGCCGGATCGGTTGGCACGAACCCTGGTCCGACGCTAACATATGTAAACTGTTATGCGCTTTGAATTCTCTCGCGTGCGGCTACGCGGTCGGACGTGGGACAACATCGTGCGTGTACTGTGTGTGTACCGTGTGTGTACTGTGTGTATTGTGTGTGCACTGTGTGTATTGTGTACCCTGTGTGTATTGTGTGTGCACTGTGTGTATTGTGTGTGCACTGTGTGTATTGTGTACCCTGTGTGTATTGTGTGTGCACTGTGTGTATTGTGTGCACTATGTGTGTACCCTGTGTGTATTGTGTGTGCACTGTGTGTACCGTGTGTGTACTGTGTGTATTGTGTGTGTACTGTGTGTATTGTGTGTTTACTGTGTGTGTATTGTGTGCACAGTGTGTGTACTGTGTGTGTACTGTGTGTGTACCGTATGTGTATTGTGTGTGCACTGTGTGTGTACTGTGTGTGTATTGTGTGTGCACTGTGTGTGTACTGTGTGCACAGTGTGTGTATTGTGTGTGCACTGTGTGTATTGTGTTTGTACTGTGTGTGTATTGTGTGTGTACTGTGTGTATTGTGTGTTTACTGTGTGTTTACTGTGTGTGTACCGTGTGTGTACCCTGTGTGTGCACTGTGTGTGTACTGTGTGCACAGTGTGTGTATTGTGTGTGCACTGTGTGTGTATGGTGTGTGTACTGTGTGTATTGTGTGTTTACCGTGTGTGTACCCTGTGTGTGCACTGTGTGTGTACTGTGTGTGTATTGTGTGTGCACTGTGTATTGTGTGTGCACTGTGTGTGTACTGTGTGTATTGTGTGTGTACTGTGTGTATTGTGTGCACTGTGTGTGTACCGTGTGTGTACCTTGTGTGTGTACTGTGTGTACTGTGTGCAGAGTGTGTGTATTGTGTGTGCACAGTGTGTGTATTGTGTGTGTAATGTGTGTGTATTGTGTGTGTACTGTGTGTGTACCGTGTGTGTGCTGTGTGTGTTACTCGGCAGACAGCTGTCTCCCCGTGCTCTTTCGCTTTTTTTGGAACGCATCTACCGCATAGAGCGAGGGCAACCTAGGCATGAATATTAACGCATTGGCATTTGTGACTGATGTGATATGGTGCCATTACCAACACATCGGGCGAAACAGTTATTCCCCGTGGTTACTACACCTTTCGAATCTTGCCAAATCATCTCAGAATCCGAATCTTCATTTATCCTGGAGAAATCCGCTGAGCTATGAAGCTCTTTTTCACAGATCTGTCCCCACACCTCCCCACACCCCGAGATCGAGTCAGACCTCGGAAGCTAAGCCGCGTTGAGCCTGTGTAGTGCTTGGATGGGCAACCACCAGGCACACAAAGGGCAGCTGCAGGAGGTGCCCTGGGCAGTAGAGGGCAGTGCAGCAACATCCACCGTGTCTCCTGCACTCCCCCTCTCTGCCAACCCGCACCCACAAGAGCGGTGAAGTGTGCTCAGAAAACCCTCACCGCCCGCAACGGCATTGGGGAGGCCCTCACCCAGCAGTGGATTGACACCCGGGCTGTATGCACGCCCACACACACTCTCGCGTGCCGTGCCGGCCTTCACAGGTGCTTGCTAACTGCACTTGCCCAAACAGTCTCTCCAAGCTATCTGGGAGATCTTCGTCTTCGGCATATACGGATTATAAGGGGTATGATGCATATGGGGTGTGGTGGTGCAGCGCTTAGCGATCTGCACTACGAATGAGGCTATCTAATTTCGATTGCCAACCATTAATAAAATCAATAATGTGCCTTATACCGATGCTAACAAAATTAACCTGCAAATGACTCCATTTGGATTACACAGGTAGCAGCATCGCCCCCGACGGCAAGAGCCCGGCAGGACCTAGGTTCCACGGAAACGGCAAGTGGTATCGGAACCTATCGTACACTTCCTTGAAGTTCACTCAGCTTTAAGTGAGTGCCGGCTGTGGTGCGTGGAGCATGAGAGCACGAGGGAGACAAAGGCGGCCGAGCAGGGATGTTTGTTGCACCACCACCAAAGCGTGCCGTGCTGGCATTAATAGATGCTTGGTAACAACATTCATGCCAACGCGTTGCATGAAGCAAAACGGATGGGGAGTTTGGATTTGAGGTTTCCGCAGCTCTGATTAGAATGCATTGTCCACTGCGTCAGGGTCCAACTGTGAGGGACTTCATCGTTTGTTGCCTTCAGGTCGCCCTGTGCCGATGACGTTGCACAGCGACAACCGCTGAGCGACGTCGCACACGCAGTCGCACATGCACACACAGTCACGCACGAAGTTGGACAAGGAGCACACACACACGCAGTTGCACATGCACACACAGTCACACACGCAGTCGCACACGAACACAGCGGAGACACGAACAGGGATTCGTACCTCTTTGTGTAATCTTCAGAAGTTATTTTTCTGTTTAGTTTGTTGTCCTTCCACCGCACCTCCGATTAAAATGGTTGGCTACGTACGGCGCGACAGGAGTTCACCACCATACATACATACGGCAGTCCGGTTGTGCGGTGCAATGGTTGGAGCACCACAGTGAAAAGAGTTTGCATATGTACACACACACACACAAGTCATCTTTTCTTTTGTGCGCATCGACATTTGGTGCTCTCCAACAAAATGCTACGTCAGTGCCAGGGAAAATCAGCTCCAACGGTTGCGTTCAGCCTTGTCTTTTAATATCTCTCCCTCTTGGCTCCCGCGGACGGACGAGCGTTTTTATCGCGGCCCTCCACGGAGCTCCCGTCGGCAAGCGCGTCTAGGCGGCGTGAGTGGCGGGCCAACAGCTCCGGTGGTATCGAGGTTAAGTGTGGTGGGGTTCATTTGCAAGTGATGATGGTGGGGTGGGGGAGTGGAAAGAGGCCTTCACGCGTTTGCACCTGTCTGGGTCTCCCGCGCTAGTGCGTTCGGGAACGAGGCACCGGCGAAATCGGGAGAGGCGCCGGGGTAGCTCTGGTGGAGCCGGGCACAGGGCGGGGTCCGGAGGCGACGGGAGATATTTTTCCACAAGCAGCTGTCAATGTCGCCAACCGCTGCCACGGCTACCGCCATCGTTGGGGATCGTCGTAACCGTTGCTGGCTTTGCTTGCGCAACCACAACCACCAGCATCATCATCACCGCCACCACTAAAATCTGCAGGATAATCATCAGTGGTGCAGCAGCAACAGAAGCGCTCTCACCTGATGACACGGGCAGGTTGTACTTGTCCGAGTGGCGCCGGCGAATGGGGCCCATGGCGTGCAGGCCGGGCGCGTGCAGCACGGGGGGGCCCGGCGGGAGCGCCGTGATGACGGACGTGGCGGTCGGGGTGCTGGCCGGGTGAGGCAGCATGCCCTGGGACGGAGACTCGGGGGTGCTCTTGGCCAGAGTGGCGCTCGACACCAGGTTCAGCTGCGACAAAGACATCGCAAGGCGGAGGGCGTTATCGTTGCGCGCGCGCGCGCGCGTGTGAAACCCGAGCACGAACTTGTGCCTCTCTTTCCCACTCACACACCCGAGCCGTGGCAGCGTGGCTCAGGAAGCACAGGGGTTCGCTTTCCCACCGCGCAAGCCGTGGCGGGCCAACGAAGTCGAGTCGCGTAAAGGTGACTCGGTGACGCTGCGTTCTGTGTTCTATTGACTGACGTCACACACAAGTCGCACGTGTCATTATCCCTGCCCCTAGCGTGGCGAGATGTTAACTACCTCGCCTGCTATGCAGGAGGTCTTGGATTAGATCCCGACGCCTGTATAATTGGAGTTTGCATATTCTCCTCGTGGTCGTGTGGATTTTTTCTCCGGATCCTCCAGTTTTTCCCTCCAAATTTAGAAACATGCGTTAAGAAAATTTGGTTGCTAAAAATTTCCACGTGATAAGCCAATTCGTTGAGCCTGCGTTTGTGGTCTGGTTGCTTCTGAAAAAGAGCGATATAGCTGAGTGGACCTTACCTGGTAAAATATTTGTTTAATCTAGATTATTTGAATTAATGGAAAGATGATCACAGAACCTATCCTGGTGTGTGAACCGATCCTGGGCTCTTAAAGTTGACTCACCCATAACTTGTGGTGCAGTATGTGAACATCATCCCTGGGCAGACAAAGGTGGAAGGGCACTCTTCATATGCTATGCCAGTCTAGGAGGTGATGATTAAACAGCACTGTTTTACAAGGCAGGCTTGACTCTGCTGATGAGACACTAAATGTCTAAACTGGTCCAGAGTATGCTTGTAAGTACTAAACTAATGCTTCAGAAAAAAATCACAGAAGGCCGTGTGGCTGATTGGATGCGTACACAATGTACCTTTAAAGTTTTTTTGGAGAGGGACAGTTGTAGGAAGGATGTATGAAGTCAATTGCTAAATGCATGTGGCCAGGTTCTATTCCCAGTCGTGAAAAGCATTCGTGCCACATGGCATCTGAACTTGTCAGGGGACTCTCACAGATCGATTCTGGGGGTGAGTGAAGGTGTAACAGTGCATATATTTAGCGAGTCTGTGAATGAGCAGTAGTGCAGTGGTTATGGACCCGGCGAGCCGAGTTCGATTTCCACTAACGATCGATAACAGTGGCAAATATTTGAACTGGCCCTGGGGCCTCCCCTAGGTCGACGTCGACACTGGGGAGACAAAGGCGCCCAGGCGTGGTGCTGGCCACCCACCCCCGAGTATGCCCGTGCCGGCCTTCATAGGTACTCGCTAACAGCACTTGTCCTAACAGCCTGTTAAAGGCTATACAGGGGATCGTTGTTTTTGAATGTGAGTGTGTTTGAGTGTGTATTGAGTGTATGCATGTGAGTGTATGCATCCATGCATGCGAGTGCATATGTGAATGTGTACATAATAGGTGCTTAGTGCTAAAAGCACTTGGTGCCATGCTGTGTCGGCTAAATGGAGGTCCATGTATATTGTCTATATATGTGCTGGAGACAGATGTACGTGTATGTGTGTGTGTACATATGTAAACAATTGGGAACGTAGCACATTACCTATTACCCGCAACGATCTCAGAAAGCTCAACAAAAAATCACGTCAAGGGCACCGAACCATTTTAAAAAAATGTATTTATATGCATTGCAGGGTCAGCGCACTGGACTTGCAATCCGGAGGTCGCTGGCTCGATCTCCCGGCACGAAAGTTTGTCGATAGGCAAGCGGCCAATCGAGTAACTGCACGATTACGATACAATACACACACGTAGTAGGATAAACATACAAAAAAAATGTATCACCCATTGGCACATGCGCGCAAGCGTGCGAGGAAATTAAGCGTGGCCGGCGATCAAAATCCTGGGAACCAAGTTTTAGACGAAGATAAATAGAGAATGTGTACGGTTGCCAGAGTGACTTTGGAGACACCACTCAGCGCTGGTGTTGCTAACAGGTTCTTAGCCAGCGGGCTCTCAGGGCTAATTTCAACAAGGGGCTGTCACAGGTAGGCATTTGATTAGACGAGCGATGCTCGGCGGAAATCTAATGATCACTTGCGCCTCGCAAAGAGATTGCATCCCAGCGCGGGCTTGGGCATGCGACATGCATTATTTAACTGTTTCACCCTACAGTCGTCTTCATAAAGGCGTGAAATGAGGGCCCGTTTGCTCATTGGTTTCACGGAGACGCTTCCCTCCGTAGCCCGCGCGGGCCACGACGCCGTCCGTCGCAAGAGGCCGGACTTTGCGAGCGAGAAAATAAATATAACAAATGCGATCGCGAGCACTTAAACACGAGGGCGTAATCAATTCACCGAAAATTGTCTGAAGAGGCATTCCGCTTCCGTGCGTGGGTTTGACGAAACGGGAAATTTGAACTCACGCCACAGGTATCGGCGGGGGGGGGGGGGGGGGGGGGTTAATTTGACAAAAAAAATTAATGTCGGAATTGCCGCGCGGCTTTGGCTGCCCATTGGAGTACGAGAGGCCCCCCCCCCCCCCCCCCCCCCGCGCACCTCCTGCAGAACGGGTGCCTTCTGAAACTCGCGAGTCGTGGGATTGAATTACCGCACTCCTCTGCAGTCCGTGGCCCCTGCCGTACCGCGTCAAGGTGGGGTGGGGGGCAACAGTCGGCGCAGCAGCGTCGAGCCGGGGGCTCCGATGCGTCGTCGTGCGCGAGCAGACGCCGGGGAGCGCAGAGGGCTTTGTTGTAATCTTTGCCGTCGGTTACGCCACGAACAAACATGTTTGTTTTTCGATTTAAAGCTTTCGTGACTGCAATGATTAATCTTCTTTGGTTCTTTCGGTAAAGTCACGTAGAATGAGAATAAAATAATAAATTGTGTTATTTTATTTTATCAATTTATTATTTTATTCTCATTCTACGTGACTTTACCGAAAGAACCAAAGAAGATGAAACATGTTTGTTCTTTCACGAGGTGCATTATTTTGTCCTCCCGTTAATTCTTCTCGGGCTCGACGCGGCGAATGTAATTGATGCACAGACTTCCCGGCGGTCCGCCTCTGTGTGTCCACGAAAGCACATTGGCGAATCTTCGGTAATTTCTGAGGTCATAGCGGTCTCGCGCACATGCCACCGTGGTGTAAGGTTTGGCCTCCGTGGACTGTTTATCCAGAGGCTGTCGGTTCATTTCCATCTCCCGGGGTGGCAACCGGAATGGTTGGACAAGTTTATTATATCGCCCGGCCTGTGTGACGCCCAGCAGAATAAACGGGTTCCATCACAGTCGACAGGTCATGTGCAGTGGAGGCAATGTGTCGGTGTTGCTACCTCTTCCAAGAAGTCTGGCCAGCATCATCGTCGACGAACAGGCCAAATACACCCTCTAGCAGCACTTCCGATTCGCGCGGTCGGCTACATACGGCGCGAAAGAAGTTCAACAAACGTGCAGAAGAGCTCGCCGGGGATGGATTCTAGGACCGCGTAGGTTTTTGCGGTAGGGTCCGCGTGGCTCTCTGCCATGTGTCACCGTGTCGTGTACTAAGGCACGGTGTCCGACGTTTCGCACCGCGTGCTGGCTGGGAGCTTCTTTAGGAATTGAATATTCAGCTCGTTTGAAAAACAATGCGGTGTACGTAGTGGCCTCTGCCGGCAGCAGGGGATAACGTGCATGCAACCAAAATAAATTAAAATGTAGAGAAAAGATGAAAATAATTTGATGCGTGTAGCTGTGAGCTCAACAACTGGAGGTGCATCGTTACACCCATAATAGGACGACTCAACCCTGTCATAGCAATGTGGAATTTCTACTGCCGGCTGAGATGTGCAGCCGTTTGGTAGCAAACCCGATCCCTCCTATGTCCTGATTATACCGAATGATTTAATCACAGCACAGAGCATGTCTACATGGGTTCTTTACCATGTGTTGTCAAACTCTCACTCCAATGGAAATGAGCAAACATTGACAAACTACTCTCATTGCAACCCGGGGCCTGGCCATCAAAAGGTTACGGAACAATTAATTCGGTTTACTGACTCAGACCTTTGAGAAATTGAAATTATTATTTGAGAATGCAACTTAAACGGTTACTTAAAAAAATTACAACTAAGATTAAGGCTTGGCAAGTTTAAATAAATAAGCAGATTACCATTTATTATTGGGTAATTAATTGCTTTTTATTGTAACTGACCTTTTCCCCACGCTTTAACGCATGGATTATTGCTGGTATACATTTGTGTTGTTCGTATGTGTTGCAGCAGTTAGCAGTAGTGCAGCGGTGAGCGCACTGCGCAACCAACCCAGTGATCCGGGTTCGATTCCCGCTCACAGTCAACAACAATAACAGCGATTATCTGAACCGGTCCTGGGCCTCCCCTCGGTAAAACTCAGCCTCAAATGAGTACCTGGTGTGGTGTGTAAACATCACCATTCGGAATACAAAGGCGGCCGGGCATGGTACTGGCCACCTACCCACTCGTGTGCTGTGCCGGCCTTTATAGGTGCTTGCTAACAGCACTTGCTCCAACAGTCTGTTGAAGCTATATGGGTGATCATTGTCTTCGTTCGTACAGAGATTTAAATGCTAAGGTCAATCTGGCACACAGCATCCCAGACCATTAGGACCCTAGAGGGCCCTCTCTCTTTCAAGGGGGGGGGGGGGGGCATTTAGCGTACCCTTGACACAAACCAGACAGGGTAATAGACACAGGACTCACCCACACTTTACCCCACCAGGAGCTACCCGTCACGGTTGTGATGGGGGGTGAATGGGAGTTAAATGCACGATGGCGAGTCTCATCATCGCTGTGCAGTCCGCGCGACGCCGAATATAACCGTACACACACGTTGGAAAATTAAAACCATTTTGAGAGCTGCGTTAAACAGAAACACGATGGCAAATCTGGCCGCATTTTTGCACGATAAGGAACGTCTTTGCAGCTGCGAGGCTTCAGCCGACTGGAAAAATTTGACGGCGACCTTTACCCCGTCATTAATTTCAAATGATGGATAATAACACGCGCACAC